ACTTTTGGCTGACACTCTCCCTTAAGTTGTTTCTCGTTTTAAAGATTTTTTTAAAGAAAAAAATTTCATACAAATTCAATATTAATATGATGCAACTTCAATATACGTAGCAACAAGAATAAAATTTGACAAATTTTTAAACAATTTTTGCAGAAATTATAAAAATTATACAAAGATGTGCGTGATATCAAACCGCTCGGTTAAAAAAAAATGATTTTATTAATTTCTGATCATTTTTTATTCAAGAAAAAGCTTAAAAAAAAGTGCCAAAACGGAAATTATAATTTTATGTTTACAATAGAAAAAAAATATGAACAAGTGTTACTTTGAACATTCTGCATGCATATATTATGTACATATGCATATATGATGTGTGTTTACCTGATTCTTTTTTTATATGAATATATAAAATATAAAATAATAAAAATAATATATCTCGTTTCGTGTAGTCTTATATAAAAATATGCGATTAGTCGAGCAATGACAATTGATTACGCTGTAATCGAAATACTTTGCCTTGATTAAATGTGACTAGATCGTGTGACTAGATCAGGTATAGGAATTGTAAATCGCTTCCAAAATGACTAGACATGCTATTAATTAATTCCTCTAATTTTCTTCACGAAATATGCGCTCTATACCGTATGTTTGTTGAACGCGTACGCTCGTATGCACCCAATGTTACACGGATTACACGATGTACGTAGATATCTACAATAGAATCTCCTTAAATTTGTGGCTCCATTAATTTGTCCACAATTATATTTGCACGAATATTAACATCGCGTTCTCTCCATGTCATAATGGATAGACCGTTAATTTGTTTCCCAAGAAATTTTCGCTCCTATCCCCCCAAAGGACCAAAATTAACGAGACTCTACTGTACGTAATTCTCATTTGTATTATTCACATAGTGAAATATGTACTTAGCCTACGACGCTCTTAATATAATTAATAATATATATTAATGAACAATATGTATATATATATATATATACTTTATGTTTTTTCGTTTGGTTTACGGGTAAAATTTTGATTTTGTGCTCAATTATGTTACAAAGGCAATGCTGATCGGGCATGCGAGTCGCTAGGACTTCTCTCAGAACTTTATTATGATCTTACGCTCGGCTTCGGCATACGTCGACATTCGTAATTAAATGACTACACTCAGCGCCCGTCTAATACTCTCATCGAGTTATAAATAGATATAATATAAATAGCAAAAGAGAAAATTCAATTTTGAACCATCAATGCGACTAAAACTAGATTTCACTTTTCCGCAATAAAGAAAAATCATTTCGCGCGCATAAATCTTTGATGTTCGATAAAAAAGAGCGAAAAATTTTCACATTTTGATCGGGGTGATAATTTCAAACGAAGGAAACTCTTTGAGTTAAACATTCCAATGGCTTTATCATTAAAATGATAAAAACCTAACATTTTTCTATCGATAATTTTCACTATCAAGTATCATCGTTCATTTTATTCAATAAAACCTCGAAGTGGATATATAAGAATTTCTTTGATATCTTACATTTCGAAATGTGCCCTTTTATATCGAAGCATCAAAAAAAATTTATCTTGCGTCTATCGCTCGTTATTATTCGGAAATGAATGCAATCAACCGCGCGCGAAAAACCGTGATTTACCCGGCGATGCCCAGATTTATCATCCACCCCGTGTACGTGTGTGCGTAGCATTCTCTCTTTCCCTCGACAACAATTAAAATCTGTATTCTCCCTCCCCGCGTGCGTAACGCGTCGGGCCATTAAATGCACAATACGCGCGTATCTGCATGGGATCCGCAATTAAGAGCGGGGTGGAGAACGGTCGTTTTGCATGTCACCGCGCGTCGCGCACGTGGAACGAGAAGAATAGGCGAGCCGGGTAAATCGGGGAGACAGGAGGGGGAAGGGGCGAGAATATGTGCGCCTTCCTCTTCCCATTTCGAGCTTCGTTCTCGGACTTTTTCGGAAAAATCCTCGTCAAGGTCGCGACCTCCTTTCTCCTCTCTGACCTTCTCGATACAGGGACGGCGGGCGGGCGGGGGGAGAGGGGGAAGGGGGAACCAGATGTGGGGGGGAGGGACCCGTCTCGCTTGTCCGGACCCATCTCTCGCTAGCTCGACAATGCCGTCTAAAAATTCGTTTTCTCCCCAACCAAAATCGCTCCTTCTCCCTTCATTCGACAACGCGTTTCCGCTTCTCTTCCTTTTTTTCCCACTCCCTCGACAGATCTGTGTAATAGCCGGTCGCCTCTCTCTCTCTCCTCCCCTAAGGTATGTTAATGCACGCGTGCGCGCATACTAATTCAGACGAATTTTCGGCAACGGCCGGCCCTCCGGGGTGCGCGCTCCATTAAATGACGCAGATCTCGAATTTCAGCTGCGCGCGCGGGGAAAACTTTTATGGCCTCTGAGACAAAAAGCAGCCCGGGCGATGGAAATCGCTCGGAATAAATCATTGCCGTCTTTGACAGCGCCGAATTCGCATTACGAATGTTGCATTTCAGTGGGAATCGATGCAATTCACTCTACCCGATCGCAATTATTTATTGTCTCATTTGTTATTCGCGATGCATCGATCATCCCTCTGTTCGTTGTTCGAGGTAGATTCTCAAAATTGCACAAATGGCTCAATTATATAATAGATTCAGCTATTATAATTATTTATTTTTAAATATATATATATGAATATATTTTATTTTTAAAAATATAATCTATATCTTAATCAAGTTTGATTTATTTTACTTTATAATTTACTTTATTTTACTTTTGTTTTAGGAAGATTAGAAAAACATAAGTAGAGCGGACAAAATATAACATTTTTCTCTCTTCATTTTTTTAATATTTCGGAAATAAAAATATGTAAAATATCGCTGGGTAATAATTGGATTGAGTAAGCAACATTATTATTTCATACAGCGGGGGCAACATTGCGTGGGCGGAAATGCATGTTTGTTCATCGTCGAGGGATAGATGCACCGGTGCGCTGCGAGGTATTTTCGGAAACTAGGCAGTTTATTAGAATGGCTGTACGCTTCGCTATCGAAGGTATGGTCAATGTGCAGTTGACTGCAGCTGTCTTTTCGAGCATTTCGATCGAATCCGGGCCTTGACCGTTGCCGAAAAAATAATCTAAATTTTTACGTCAAAATAATTTAATGCATCTTTGTAACTCGATTTTAAGCTAATTGACATTTTTAAGTAAACAATAATATATGATTTAAATATTTTTTATCTCACTTTCTTTCCTGGAAATTTTTTTACAGATAGAATAAATTAAAATCCTATGTCATGCGAAAATTTTAAATAAATATTATGTGCGTCATGAAATGATTATTCTTCTAGTTTTGAGATAAATATAATTCAAAGATATTTATATAATTCAAAGAACAATTATTCAATTATTTGTTAATTATCTTCAAGAAAAATTTTATAATTACGTCGAGTAGAAGAGGCCGACTATTACACAATACAATCGCAAAAGTACCCAACAGAAAACTTATTTATTATATAATCGTAACACGGATCAGACTGTTACATCGGGTATTTTATCGAGACTTGCGTGATAATTCGCGGGTTTTGCAAACTGCAAAGGCACGAGGTTCGAAACAGTTTTCGGCAGGAACTTTTATCTCGAACTCGACGTCTCTTCGCGTTTTATTTTTTACCGACTAGACTAGATAACTCTTAGTTAAAAATCCGAGTGTGCTCTATATAACTTTAATATGTAGATTATATTATATTTATATATATATAAATTGGAGGCTGTTCGTCAAATATTCGTATGGATCGAGCTTGGTCGGTTTGCGACCTCCCCTAAGATAGAGAAGGTCGGTCATATTATATTGATATCCGCGGAACATTTACGAGACACACACGCTACGTTTCATCATTATATTTAAAAGTTATTTAAAGTCTATGTAATGTGTTGGCTGTGTATACGATTGTACTTTTGTTGCGGGTTATACTGTGTCCACCCCTGAGTTGGTTGGCGATTCTCTTTGCATATTGATATTCAATGCTCTGGTAATCATTATATATCAAATCATACTGTCGCCTTCTTGGCCGTCGCGCTTAATTAGCGCCTTCCGCCGATTTTCCGAAGTCTAGAGGTCTAGCGTTTATAGAAATATTTATCATATGTATACATATGATAAATATCTCTCTTCTAAAAATCTTCTTCATCTCTGAAAACTCTCTGCTTATTCTCTTTTATGCGTATATGTATATTTATATATAATATTGATTAAAACAGTCGCGCGAAAAAAAATAAGAAATAATGTGTTAATTAATGTCAATCGAACAATTATGTTTGATTTTACATTAAATTTTTTCGTTCAGCAAAAACAAAATCGAAACTAAGGTGGAGAAAGAAAGAGAAAATAAAACGCGAAAGAATAAAAAAATAGGCTTCTGATATAAAAGAGTTTATCGCGATTAAGATAGGAACTTTGTCGATCACCCGTTCGTGCTTTTAATTAGTTACGATTAAGTATTTACAAGAATATATAACGAGTATGTTCTTCTTAGAACAATAATAACAATCTCGTCTCGTTATTTTTTTGAGGGAGGATCTACCCTTTCGAAGAAAACCGTTCATCAGTCGGTCTGGTATAAAACCTCTTCGCTCTTCAAACTACTCTGAAATAAGATTGCGCGGTAAAAATAGTCGTATTTTTTGATGATTCAGAATGATCTCCACATATTTTATGTATATGATGCGTCACGAAATTTCGCAATTTTGCATCGTGACGAAAAATACTTTCAGATTGAATTATCTTCTTCTTACAAACGTTATACGTAGTAAACGAAATTTTCAAAACTGATTAATGTCTAAGAAAATAATTCAAAAATTTTTAAAAAGTGTTTACGAAATATTAATCTTCGAATTAATATTTTCTCAGTTTCGAACGGTTTAAAATTAATTTGTAGCATAAATTTGAAAACGTAAAATATAAATTCTCTTTAATTGATATCATGTTAATTCGACTATCTTTTTACTTTACCAATTCGCAATATGAAATCAGAGAGCTTGTTTAACCTATAATAATGGAGTTTGTAAAAATTGCGAAAAATTACGTAAAAATTAATGAAACATCAGAATATTGTGGTGCAAATAATACTTGCCGCTCGTCTTGCACAATAAATAGGAATCAATACCATGTGCTCGGATCGCAGATGTAGATGCTGTCGCTCATGCTCGAAGGTGCGAGGCAGATACGATAAAAATTTAAACTCAGGCGGGGGTGAGAGTGAAGGAAGCGGTTAAGACGTTGCCGATTCTGGATTTAACTGGCAAATAGACCAGAGCTGGCGCGAATCTCTTCGCCGAGCTGGATTCGACGCCCGCCTGCATCAGATCTTGTTCCTCGATCAAGAACGGTTGCATGATGGTTTTATCGGGGTTCGAATTCATGTCCTGCGGCATCGCAAAACAGGCCGGTACCTTCTGCTTATTCGCCACGTCTTTCAGAGTCTTGCTAAGTTCGGCGATCACGCTCTCCGTTGGATCGCCGATCATTTTGTGATCTTTTCGCACGTGTTTCTTGATTCGATTTAGATTCGTCGTCGCGTATCCGCACTGAGCGCACTTGTACGCGCCATGAGCAGTCACCTGCACGGCGGTTTCATCCTGCTGTTGGTTCCTCGCGGGCTCGGGAATATTTTTATCGATCTGCGGACTGCATCCCGCTCGGTTGTCCTTATCTTGATCGGCTTTGTTCTTAGCGTCGCTCGCTTTGACATCAGCGTCCGATCTCAAATTATTCAGAAGAGGATACTGAAACTGCGATAGCAAAGTTGGGATTTGATGCTTAGCGAGTAGGTGCTGATGAAGTAGTTCCAGTTGATGGAAGTCCTGCAAGCAAATCGGACACTGCAACGGCCGGTCACCTTCCTGCAAACTCACGTGTGATCGCTCGTGAAAGAAGAGTAACGGCAACACGGAGGTCGCAAAGTTGCAATAGGCGCAATGATAATTTTTTAACTGGTGTTCCTCGGACGAAGAACCAAAGAAATTTGACAACACTTGATTTCCTAGATTGGTGCAATCGGTCGACTTGACTTGTTGAATCTCAAAGCCATTGGGAATCTTCAGATTCGACGTTTGTTGGACGTTCTTTACTGGAGCGACAGCACTTTTGCCGCTGGTTCTGGGCGTTTCTTGATATTGCTGTTCTAATTCGCGCCATTTATCAATCCCGACTTTGCCATGATCGCCCATCAAATGGGCTTTCAACCACTTGATGCTGCGAAACCTCCGATTGCAGATCGGACATACCTCGGTGAAGTGAATGAAATACTTATGACTAAGATCGCTCAATTCCTGCTTCAATACCGAATCCTCTGCGCTGGAAGCGTCGTAAGGTTCTTGTTTATTCGATGTTGATGCCGACGACGTGTTCTCATCGACGATCCCGTGGGTATTGTGCTTGTGAACGCGTAGGAAATATTTGCTGCACAACTCTTTGTTGCAAATATTGCAAATAACACCACCGATCTGCGCACCATTTTCAATTTCGATGCCGTGCATTCGTTGCATGTGCGTCTTCATAAAATACTTGTTACACAGCTCCTTGTTGCATATTTCGCAGTAGCTGGATGTCGGCGTCAATGACGTCATCTTCTTGTCCGTCGTCGTCGTCGTCGTCGCCGTCGTCGTTATCGTCATCGTTTGATTGCTTAGAGCCTGATTAGTTGGTGTCGAGCTGGCGGGAGAGGAGATTATCGTCGGCGGAAGTGTCGGCGGTGTGATAACGCTGGACACAACAGGTTGATGTTCCTCGTTGATGTGTCTCCTCAGAGCCTCCTGGCTGGGGTAATCCTTCTCGCACAAAGTGCAGAAGATAGTCGAAACGATCTGCGTTGGCGATGTTTCCTGCGGCGACGAAATTTCATCATTGACGACACCATGTTCGGTCGCCATATGAACGCGCAGAGCCGACCTCGAGTCGCACTCTTTACCACAGACGCCGCAGGATAATCCTTTATCGGAATCCAAGCCATTCAGTTGCATGATCATTGTCTGCAGCTTTTGAAGATCCTCCGAGATCGAATCGGTGCGCTGATCGGAACTTTCTAGGTCATATTCTTGCTTCGGCGTGCCACGTTCTTCGCCCTCGTGTATCTTCCTGCAGTGCGCCTGATAAAGACCGATCGTTTGGAAGCGGATCCCGCAAGATTTGCACTCGTGCTCTTCACCGATACGCTCGTTGGACTCTGCGGCGATGGAATCGGCCACGATCAGATTCAGCGGACTAGTCTGCACTTGGTGCCACGTGGCGACAGTCGTGCCAGGATTACCAGGTGACCTCTCGTTGTCTTGCACCACAATACCATGCCGTTTCATCTTATGCGTGCGCAGGAAGTACTTGTTACAGTATTCCTTGCAACAGATTTCGCAAAACGCGTCGGGATTTATGACGCCCAGACGACGCAGAAGATCGGCGCTGAAGCCGGAATCGCGCGCCTGTTGAATGGACTGGGGCGAAAGGTGTCTAGGAGCCGGCATAAAGGTAGCGTCTTCCTGTTCGATGCCGTATTCCTGCTTAAGAAGCGCCTCCATGCCGCTGGGACTGAGTCGCGCGGAGTCGCGCGGAGTCTCTCGATCCTCCTCGTTCTGCGACAGAGAGATCTGTTGGCTGTCCGATTGCTGATCCATCAACGATTCATTTTTTTGCTTCTGCTTTTTTATGGCAGATTCCTCGTTGCGAAAACGTTTCTGCGGCGGCGTCGTCGGTGGTTCCAGCTTCACGCTCGTATTACCTGTAGGAAAGTTCGCGGCGCCGAATACATTAGCGGCATCCGTAACCGTGCTCGGCGCCGGCGAATCCACATAGATCCCGTGTTTATTCGCCTTGTGCGTCTTCAGGAAATACTTGTTGCAGAACTCCTTGTTGCACATATCGCAGTACGCGTCCGGATTAAAAATCTTGACCGGCATCGGACCGAGGGAGGATCTCGGGACTTGCTGGGGATCGGGTAGGGGAAAACTCGGCAAGGGTAGATACTGCGCGAGGGCGCCAGGAAAACCCGAGAGCGCCTGCAAGTGATTAGTCATCGTGACGATCTGATTGACCGGACCGCCTGACCACGAGTCCTCGCCTTGCGATTGCATCTGCGTCTGCGATTGCACGTGTTGCTGGCTGCCGGACGCCAGCCAGGTAGTCGCGAAGTTCTTGACGCTTAAGAGGCTAACGGGACCATCATTAGTCTGATCCAGCTGCTGCGTCGGTTCTACCTTGACGGTGACGCTCGGTGTCGCCTGTCTCGCGCCACCGTGTTCGCCGTCCACGTGGACGTTGAGCGTCTCGTCGCTATCGAAGAACCGGCCGCAGAAGTGGCAACGAAACTCGTTGTTGAGATTCTCGTCTTTCGACGACGGCTGATGATGATAGTGGTGTTGACGATGGTGATGCTCGTTGCCCGGCAACGGCGATCGCGATGACGGCTTACCTTCGCTATCCTCGTCCTCGCGCTCGTCCTCGCACCCATCCTCATGCGCGCCTGTCGCTATACTGGACGAAAATCTTACCGGTGTTGTTTGCTTCCGACGTTTTTTGATACCGACACCGAGATCGGCGGAATCGCCGCGGACGCGCTTCCACGTGTCGCGCTCGCCGCAGCTCGAACCGTCGCTGTCCAGCTCCGCCTCGGCCATCGTCGTCGTCGGCTCGTGCGACGATGTCATGCTCGATGACATCTCTCGGTGGATCACGCGATCCGCAGCCCGTTATTCCTGCGATGTTGCCCGTCTGGCAAAAAACAGATAAATTTCTCTTTAAAAAGTTGCGAAGGAATCTAGTCTTATAAAGATTTCGCGAAAAGGGAAAATCCATTCAACACAGTTTTTTTCTCAGTTATTTCTCTTCGATGAAGCTTCAAAATGATATAAATTTATATAATTAATCAATCATACACATCTATATTATTATAATAATTATATACTATCATATATATAATATTACCTAATAATGTCAGAATATCTATTGTGTGATGTAAATCCAACAAATAATACAAGTGGTGAAAAAATAATTCTTTAAAAAAAAGTAATAAAAATATAAAATAAATTATCTTGAATGAAAGAAAAATTTATAACATTTAAATATTTTATGTATGAAAGAAAAAGAGAAGAGAAATTTCGTAAATTATGTATTGATAATCATATTTTTATTAATTATCAAGCAATTTATCAAGATACTATTTATCTTATTAATTTATTTCTACAGCACATTATAAAATTTTAAATGACATATAGATGTTTATTGATCTTTCAAAACTATACAGCAATTTTGTGAATACACTAACATGTTCGCGGCATTAATAGCTTACGACGCGATAAATTTAATATTGATAGATTAAATATTTTAGATAGATTTAATATTGACAGATTAAATATTTTAGATAGATTTAATATTGACAGATTAAATATTTAGATATATATGCATACAATATTTTCACATATGAAATTATTTTTCAATGGAAAATATGTGCAAAGAATTTTATAAAAAATGTATTACAATTTGTTATACTCGCAAGATTTTGTTTTTTCAAATAAATACTTTGTCGCTGAGTTATAATAATTTATCACATTAGTATCGATATGTTTAATCTGGAAATATTTTTAATATAATTTCGAATATACGTCGTCTCACTGACACAGAAGTTCGCGAATGCTCGTGGAAGGCGATATTAATTCGGCAGAAAGATGATAATAATTTCGTTCGACGCGGTCCGAGGGGCTGGAAGGTTGGGGTCAGGCTAACGAGCACTTCGTGCTGCTGAAAGACACATGCGAAACTTGACGAACGAGATACGGCGAACGGGACACCCTCGCTCGCGCGCGATGGACATGCGGTCTCGAAGAAAGGAACGGAAGGGGGAAGAATGAGCACCCCCCCATGACTCATATTATACATCCACCCCACGCATTCGGGGAATTCGGAGGATAGTACGAATATGCATTTCAGAAGCGCGACATAATTACTAATTCAGGATGACAGCTTTGTATCGCGAATACAAGTGGACGGTGCGCGGTTAGTGAACTCTCAACGGTATCTGCCATTATGTCCAGTCGTGCATGATACACGCGTGAGAAAGGATCGCGTGAGCCATGCGTGCATAAGCTCGGAAACATATTAATGATTCTTATAGGTAGACTGCCTGTTTTATCACTAATGTAGCGGACAGAAAGAAAATTATCAATGCTGAAGTTTATCGATTTTCTTCTGCGATCATGCATTTTGTACGTAATCTTTATTAAATGTAAGAAAAATTTAATTATTAATTTCTATATATTTACCTTTTATATATCACTTTGATATATATTGTAATATTAATTTTACTAGTTTTTTTAAAAATTATGTTATAATTCAAAATCGTTAATAAAATATTTCTATTAAATATCTGCAATGTTCATAGGAATATTATTTACGCAATTATTATTTCAAAATTATGACACTCAATCGTAATTTATACCTAAGCTCTCACTCGCGAGATACTTGTGTTTCAAATCATTTTTCATGGTGAATTATGAAGATTGCTCCTGTGCCGAGATATCTGGAAAATCGTACATCATCGTCGTAAGAGCACGAACACAGCTTCGTCACATATTTCGATTACAAAAACTTTGCCTGTACTGCAAATTCGAAACAGCACGCATTTTGCAACAGGATAATTGCCTCGCCTTCCTGTCAAGAGCACTGTTACATGTCGCAAATAAATCAATGTGGACTTCGAATGGTGAAGCGCGAGAGTATTTTCATTTTTGTGTTGATCTCTCTCTTAGGATATCAAAATCATTGAAATATCGCGCCACTTGAGGATTTCGTATTCGATTTTTACATCAGATTGATGAGGCTCACGAAAATGCAAAATACATAAAAACGATAGTTAAATAATTAAGACGCGAAAACGCGAGGATATTGTCGAAGAGACATGGAAATGACGATGTATAAAACCGAGAGATCAGGTATTCGCGTGCCTGATCCGCGACCCTCGGCAGTTTACGCCCCTTCGGATTCTGCCAGGTTACTGTTAAATATAGGCACGATGCCCTATGAAGGGCCTGTCATGCCGTTTTTACATCCCTACCACCTTTGGAGACCGATACAAATCTCCCCACTCTAGCATTGCGTTTTACTAAATTTTTCGTAGATGATTTCCGGAATTATCTGAGCGCTAGTAACAAGATAGTCCGCCTTGAAATAATATTTTAGGTGCAGTAAATATTATTTAATATATTTTATCTCCCTCTTTCTTCATTTTATATTCATTGTTGTAAAACAATATTAAGTGATTTTTTTTCCTTTTATTTGTATGTGTCAGAAGCCATTTTTCGCAATTTTTTAATTTTTTTTATATATTATGTCTACAGATATATATGTAGAAGGTATCTTCCTTAAAAAAAAAACAATAGATATCCTTTTAATAACAGAGAAAGAGAGAGAGAGAGAGAGAGAGATATTCTGATTAATTTAAAGATTTTTCCTTAGTGTAATAATTATCCCGCGGATTTGTTTTTCATTTTTGATTTATCTAAAAAAAAACAACGATTATTACAGTACATATCGGTTATTACAACAACGCAGTTGCACGTATGCATGTTAACGGAATGGAAAATGGATTACACGAGGGTTGTAAAGCAATCGTTGACGTACGTAAGAGAGAGAAAGAAATAATAGAATCGTGAGAGAGACCGAGTGGGGATGGGGATTTCTGAGACACCCGTATATTTCTACAACGCAACGTTTGACAGATTTTCCAAAAATACGCGTAAATAGGCCCGTATGTTCGCGCGGGGACATTGTGGAAACTCACCGCCGAAATTGGATGAATGAGGGGGATGGTGATCCGATCCGCGGCAGGATCGGTTCGCCATAACGTGAAAGGGTTTTGGGAAAACACGTTACGTTAGAGATGCAGAGAACAACGACGTGAAACAGAGAAAGATGCTCGGAGCATTGTAATATTATATACGCGCGCATTTGCTAGATTTCTTTTGATTTGCACGGATTGACGCGTGGGATGTCGAATGACAAACAAAACGTTGCACTCTCACGGAATAATGGACGAAAGCACATGGCGAATGTATTTTCGCAGCTGCTCCCGTTGCAACGTCACGACGACGAGTAACAAAAATTAATTGTAACTTAATAATTTTAACGAATATAAAATACGAAGATGACTCGATATTTGAAATTCGAGCGACGAATGACATAATAATAGTATGCGCTATTAATTTAATTAATTTAAACGCGCCAGCTTTATGAGTCATTCCTTTTCCTATTGATATCGTATTTAAAATAAATAAAATTTAGTATAATAAAATATATATAAAATATATATAAAATATATAAAAAAGATATATATAAAATAAATAATTTAATATATCTAAATAATCTATATAAAATATATAATTTAGTACATATAATAATATATGTATAATTTAGTATATATTAGTAATCTGCACTATACTTTATTTAAATTTTACAGCTTCCAACATTTTTTTATTTTATATTTCAACAAATGAAATCTGATAAATACTATATACCTATAATAATAGGTACCTATTATAATAAGTACCTATACTCATATATGAAATTTAATTAAAAGAAACAGCAGGTCGACAAAAGCAAGCAAAATCAATCGAACGTAAGGTGAAGCAATAAAGTGGAGACATCAATACAGGTTTAGAGAATAAAAGAAAGAGAAAGAGAGAGAAAACACGAAAGAGAGAGAGAGAGAGAGAGACGAAGATCGATAACGGATATGGACAGTGAATTATGAAAGCTTTGTAATTCTCCTTTCGCAAAAAGTCGAGAGAGAAGCTCGCGCAAACTTTTCGCGTGGATTGGTTCGATGTGCGCGCGCGAGCGAGTTACGTTACACATCTCTACGCGTATGCGTGTGCGTGTGTATCTCCACGCTCGCGCGCGCGTGCCGCGTGGGCGTGTGCGGATACACACGGGTTCCGTTTACGTGTGATTCCAGTAGAGGCCTATTGATCGAGCAGCGAACTTCGGCGGTTCGCACACGCGCATAAGTCTTCCCGTAAACAAGACAAATATCATCGCCAGTCCTGAAAATCCATCCGCCCGTCCATCTTCCCTTCGATGTCCCGAAATGTCCATCCGATACGATCGCGATTCGTTTTTCAGCGGCAGATCCACTTTGCCGTGGCTAAAGTATGCCTTAATTACGGTGGAACAGAAGATTTGATGTCAATGTATATGTTTCAATAAAATAAACCTTTTCATATTTATGAATGAATAATCAATAATCCTGTGTAGTCCCAGCAAAAGGTACATGAATCAGAAAATTTTATTTTTCGTTTATTTAGGTAAGCAATTTTAGGAAAGCAATTTTCGTTCATTTAAGTATTTTATAACAAAATAAAAGATATTCTCTCTTAGGAAGTTTCTGAATTTTGCTAAAATGTAATAAAATATTCTCTAGAGTATGAGAATGTATACCTATCAAAATCCATTTCTTTTTTTCCAATTAAATTCTTCCCAGAGGAAAAAAATTAATTTAGAAAAAATAATTTGATTTAACAATTGAATAATATTATTTTTTAATAAGGCTTGCATCACTACGTATAAGAAAATTTAATGTGTGCAATATTCTTAAAATTTAGTTTATATTAATATTTCTTGTTTGCGTGAGAAACGCATGATAATTTACATATACATACAATGGTATCATTAAAAAAAATATAAAAAAATATGTTATTAAAAATATTCTTCCAATTTTA